CATTATTTGTTTTGCAGTTGGTAGCTCCATCTCTAGAGAGAGTGTATGTGGATGTCACATCAATGCAGGACCAGAAATAGGAGTTGCAAGTACAAAGGTACTGACAAACTCACAGATGGCAAAATAATTTAACAGTAGGGGGCTGAGTAACGAGTCATAAAATACTTGAAAATAATGTATGTCACGTTATTAAATCATGGGAGTGGACAGGATTAAATCCCACCTCTGCTGCCTATGAATCCACCTACTACACTGTAAGCTTAGCATCAGCAGTACGGTCTCCTGCTTAGGCAATGTTTCCCTAGTGTTTCAAACCTCTTGTAAAGAGGATTCCTTGTTTGAATTTCACCCAATAAATGTCTACCCTCTCAGGTGTTACTGGTACCCAAACAAACAATGACATATGATGATCCATTCTACCTCGTTAGCAAATTTCCTTTCCTAAGCATAAACAGATGAGTAAATTGATTGGTTGTATGTTGTTGTCATCGTAGGCCTATACCAGCCAGTTCCTCACATTAGTCATGTTTGGCTTAATGATGGCTGAGGACAGAATCTCAATGCAGGAAAGAAGAAAGGATATCATCAAAACCTTAAAAGAACTCCCAGGTATGTGCCACCCACCACCAGGTAACATCTATTGGTAAGAGCATCAGTCTGCTGTGCTGGMGTTTTTGGTTGAATCCCAGCTTGACCTACGCGCAGGGTCTCATAATAACTAAGGAAAAGGTGCTGCCTCTTACAATAAAGCAACTGGTTATGCCACTAAATCATGGCTTAGATAACCACGTTATAATTAATGGCGGTCCTTTCTCTAATCAACTATAACTTTAAAAGATGACTACGAGTCGATCAATTATATTACTGTCAAGTGACTTTTATCATCACCATAAAAAAATAAATGAATACTTTTTATTCCCCGCTTTTATCTCCCATTCAGCACCTTTTCAAATGCTGCAGAGGAATGTTCCAGAATTGTAAATTAAATTTGTTTGTTTTATTGCTTAATTAACCACCTCTTACTGGTGAGATGAAGTACATGTAACCCCATCCCACTATAATATTATCACTAACTGTTTTCATTGCTACACACGGATCTAGACTATATACTTGTGACATGGAAATTTGGTCTGCCGTCAATTAATTAAATCATTAGTAAAGTACATACATAATATGGCCTCAAGTTAATCAGTTAACAAAATTACTGTCACATGTCACCCGGCCTCATTAAATAAAGTCTTCAATCAATCAATATGGAGATAATAATGCAAAGGTCCACGGGCAACTTACTCTTGACTAACAATTTATTTGATTGATTATAGTGTATTGCCTGATTTCCATGTAGCAAATAATCTTTTTCTTGAGCAGTGCATACAGTATCTATATATAGCAATGAAAACAGTGGTAAAGCCAGGTCTTTTATCAACAATTTCCAAGTCAAGTYTAGAAATCTCTATCTGAAGCCAGGTCTTAATGTCATTTCCCAATATTACCTTGAGAGGGGAAGGTCCAAAGTCATAATACTTTTATTTTAAATTATTATCATCCATGCAGACCTGATTAAGGAGGTTCTCAAGCTGGATGACCAAATAAAGTCCTTAGCAGAAGAGATGTACAAACACAAAAGTCTTTTAGTGATGGGCAGAGGATACCAGTTTGCTACATGCTTGGAAGGTGCCCTGGTAAGCATTAATATAAGACAACTTTTTATAGTTTAAAAAACTCATACCTTTTTTATTAGTTGAACCCTGAAGCAGCCTAGTATGTAGGTCAGGGTGTAGCTAGATAACACACACTGTCAGATTGATTTTCAAAAAGCCATTGACCATTACAACCATGTCCTGGTGGGCTCAGCTCTGTTGGGCACCATTGTTGTGGGGTGTAAAATTTAWGGTCCTGTCTCATAATTCAGAGATGTTAAACAGCTAGATGAMCACAAGTTTATTGATCAGCTGTGACTGTCACTTGTCACCATCACTAAAAATAAAATTGATTATTTACATATCTTGCATCTTGCTCTCAAATGCAGTGCAATCAAAATTTTAAAATGTAAAACAATTGAAATCTTAGTAATTGTTTTACATTTTGAAGTTAGGGTTGCACATTTGAGGGCAAGATATGTAAATAATTATGCCACCAAGACACCAACGTGCCTACAAGAGGTATTTTTGGACGGGTTCAGGCCTAGGGTGGTAAGGGGAGTAACTAGTCACACCCTTTTTGTCCCTGGTGTATATTTGAGTCTTATTTTGATGAATAACTTGATTTGTTTTGTAGAAAATCAAAGAGTTGACATACATGCATTCAGAAGGTATCTTAGCTGGAGAACTGAAACATGGTCCATTGGCGTTGGTTGATAAAGACATGCCTGTCATGATGATTGTTGTACAAGATGCTGTACATGTTGTAAGTATGATTGGATCGACTCTTCATAACACTGCCAACAACAACAATTAACAACTTTATTTCCTTTCAATTGGTACAAGAAATTGAAAGTTAGATGCCAATCGCTCTATTCATGCCTCTTCTTGGAAGAGATTTGACAATTCTCATGGGGCCAGTGCATGGAAGGGGGAAAGGGGTGGGTTGAGAACARCACAGTGGCCAGGCATGTTCAACATATGGCTCACAAGCAGAACTCAATTCTATTAATTGGGAAGTTCATATACTGATAGAGTCGTCCAATTTTGTCATCCCAGTCATCCTTAATGAATAACTTCCTAGTTTTCCTTTTTTTCTTGACAAACAAGAACTTATTTATTAATCTAATCTTTTTTTTTTCTTTTTTTGTTTAAACATTTTTGTGTGCATGATTGTGCAAAAATACTATTTTCATCTTTTTTCCTCCAGAAATGCATGAATGCACTCCATGAAGTCACTGCCAGAAAAGTAAGTAATATTAAGAATTATACAGTCACGAACAAAGCTGCATGTTTCAATTAATGCCAGCATGATAGCTAATACTGTAGCCCAGATTCCCAAGACTCTGACTAAAATAATTTTAGCTTTGATAGGGTTTTTTCTGATAATGGACCATTCACCAAGAATATTTCATCTTAGATTTCAAGGCATTATAAGGTGTCYAGGGGACAAATAAAGCTTTGTTACAGCTGCGAGAGCACTTGATACTGCACCACACCACAAGAGAACACTGGCAACAAATTAAAGATGAATTAGGACGGCACATGATCAATCACTTTTACCCATTAAAAAATACAAACACATGGAACTCTTCTATATATTTTCCATTATCTTTGTTTTGTTTTGTCCCGTGGCAAGATGGCTGTCGTATTGTCTTAAAATGGACATTTATCTTGTTGATTGGAACAATAGATTTTTCCTGCATTACCTCACATTCAAGGGCTTCAGGATGAGGATTTTCGGGGCTAAACAAAATAAATTCACTTAATAGGAAATAAATATTGTGCCATGTTATAAAAGTCCATCAAACATTTGAAATATAATCAACTAATAATCAGATGGTGTCTGGTGATGCCAATATCCCTTTCCAGAATTCACTTAATGAACATGAAACAATGGTTTGAAGTCAAGACTTAACTTGCTTCTTTTATTCATCAAGTCCTACCTCCACTTGAAACCATTGTTTAGTGATCAGTCATGCGAATTCAGGAAAGGTCTATTAATTTAGTACAATTTTTTTAAAGTTTGTTTTATGTACTAATTTTACGTTGATGGTGTTATAGGGCCGTCCTATCGTGATTTGTAACCCRGGTGACAAGGATGTCCAGTGTCATGCAAGCCGTGTACTAGAGGTTCCCAAGATTGTTGACTGTCTTCAGGGACTGCTGACAGTCATTCCTTTRCAGCTCTTGTCATTCCATCTTGCTGTAATGAAAGGATACGATGTAAGCTATCACCATGTAATGTTAGGTTATCACACTATAGAATCAGCAACTGTGATCTTGAAACTATATGGAATAAAAAAAACTCCTTGATGGTAGCACTTCATAGTCAAAACTGTGGCCATCATCCATGATCAAATTGGAATAAATTTAGGATTGAATTGATTTTTCTGGAGGCAGGAAGGGACACAGGAGAGAAGCAACTAATTAACAACTCTAATCACATGCGCCACCAAAATTAAACCCTGCCAAACTTAAAYCTATGTTGCATCAGTTAGAGGAAAGCAGTCTCACTGCTATGCCACCCATCCTTCCCAATATTGACCCACAAAAATGGTGCCGTACATGTAGCATTTCAAGGGGATTGGTTGCTACCAAGAAAACAACATGTTCTCATCTTTTCAAATTGATTTGTTTCTATAGGCCTATCCCAAATTTGCTKGTCATGAATGACTTCTAAAAATTGGCTCCTCGGCTTGAAGCCCTTGTTTTGTGGTCACTCATGACAAGCAAATCTGGGAAAATTCTGTTAACTGCTGCTTGGATATCCTTGAATAAATAGCTTCTTATAAAAATATAATTAATTGATTAAACTTTCTACTTTTCTCTAGGTTGATTGTCCACGAAATCTGGCCAAGTCAGTCACAGTTGAATAAAATAACTGTTAGAGAAGATCATTTTAATCCTATTTTAGCAGGCACATTTTAACTCCATGTGCCCAGTTGATATATCACAGAGTGACAATAATGACTCAAAGTAGAGCTGTCCTAACTTTAATCTCTATCGGCATTTAGTATTATTATTCTCTTTCAATTATAGATTGTTGTTAGAGTATAATAAATTGAAAAGAAAGACAGTTATTAGTTAGGAGCATTGTAAGGTAGTCTGTAGGTAGGTGGTTTGGTTGATTCATCTACAGGTGTAGTAAATAATTAGTTACACCCATTTTCATAATTATGTGACCAACTCAGCCCTATAGACATCTCTGGGTTTTGGGCTCTATCAAAAAATTACTATTCAGACCCTTGAGTTTGATTGGCAGAAGCCAAAATCGCAGAGACATCTCTAATTATAGCTAGTTGTCTGGCTGGCGTAATTATGGAAATGGGTATACGTCTGATTGAGACAAACTTTCATTGACTGGTTATCAGGCATTAGACTGTCAATCAAATATTCATCTCCATTAACTTCTCGCAGTTCCCATACATTACTTGAGTTTGTTGTAAATTATTGCTGTAACAATGAAAACATATAGAGGATATTACATGGGCACGCGGAGATACAAATTTTATCTTCAAGTGTTCAATTGATATCTCACGAGTGAGCGCAGCGAACTCGTGAGATGTCTAAATTGAACACGAGAAGATAAAATTCGTATTTCTATGAAGCGGACATGTAATGTTCTGTTTATTATATAGATATCGATGAAACTTATATGTTACTATGTCAACAGCGATATCTTCACGTGTGAAAGAYATGGTATCTTCCACTGGTGAAAGATATCAAGTTTTCAACACTAGAGAAAACCTGGTATTTCATCGATATCTATGTAATAAATATACATAGTCAAYAATCTAATAGTGCATGAAAACAAACAAACAAAAAGCATGCATATTTTACAAACATCACTCCCTGTAAGGGGTTCTTYGTGTGAGGTTCACTAGTGCATTGTTTGTGTCATGCAAGGTATAAAGTAACTCAATCAATAAATTAGCATAAATATTGGAACATTATAATTAGAATAATCATTTTAATCCAAGGGCAGATCCAAGGGGGGCTGAAGCCCCCCCTTCAGCAGAAAAAAACGATGCTTTTTTACATTGTGTTCCGTTGTGTCGATGGAAGAAACTCCATTACCCCCCCCCCCCCCCCCCCCACCTAAAATTTTGGCTGGATCCGCCCTTGGAATCACTCAGCAAAAATCAGTAAGGTACCTAAGCCTACTGACAAGAAAGGATGTAGAATATTCTAGCTTAAAAACATTTTACAGCCCAGGAACATTTATTTAAGGTAATRTTTTATAGCATTTATGGTATTCAATGATGTAGAATTGGTATAATAAAAAGGCATTKTTTGAAATGATGGTACACAATATTTTGTAGTTTGTATCCTGGAATTTAGTGCCTGCATGACATCWGTCTGCATGCTGAGAGGGCTGTGGGCAGGGCAAAGGGCCCCTCTGGATATCAGCCAGGTAGCTGAATGGGCCCACCCTGTTTAAATAAAAATAAAGTCTTTAAAGACCATCTGAGTAGCAGAGACTGGTACAAATTGTAAAAATAAAACTGAATCCAGGGAAGCTTGCCTGAACTTGCTCCAGTCTTGTTTTTACTTAAAGAATGAAATAAATATAGGAATTAGCAGGAATTAGCAGTGGCATTTCCAGAGTGGCTCCTTATCCACTGGATTCCATTTGAAATTTAGAAGTTGATTTTTTTGGAGGGAGGACAGTTATCTGGAAAACCCCCAAGCAGGCAATTTGTGCTRTTTTCCTTTTATTTGCAGGATAAATTAGTTGGTGACAAAAGTTGGTCCAGCTGTGGAAGAAGAGGGTATCCCTATTACCAAAGAAAGATCTTCTGCCCTCTTTTACATTGAGGGATATACTCATTCCAATAACTGCTAGGCGTAGGTCAAACGTCGCACTTCACATGAGCCCAAAATCTAATTGAAACAATTCTGACTTGAGATGCAAACTAAATATCAAAATTTCAAACCAAGAAGCAGCATTGCCCATAACTTTTTTTATTTATACAAACACCCTGAGTCGGCTCTATCCCCTTTACATGCATCAAATCCCCTCTACATGCATCAAATATCATAATAAAATAAAACACTGAGCCTTGAATAAGCCTCTATTTTCACTAGTTTATATAAAAATATGAGTGATTTTAACTGGTCCTTAAAAAAATATAAAGTATAATAATTATTTATAGACCCCTTGCATGTGATGTCAAAGCAGCTTAATCTGCTGGGGGACAAAATGAAAAATTCCAATCCTGAGAATTGCAGCCTATTATTTTGTCCCCCAGATTGAGCTGCATTTTCTAAGTGCTACAAGGGGTCTATAGATGAAGTACGTAGGCACAGTACACTAATTCCATTCTTTTCTTTTCTTTTACTTTGACTATTGCTCACTAATTATGCAACTATATTTCATATTAGCCAAGTAAAATCACTTGGACGTTTTGACTGAATATATCTAGCCAGTATACAGTGCTCCTGTAMTCCTCCCCACAGCCACTTCTTGCCTCCACTGGAGAAAACATTGAGACAGTGTTACTTTTAATTTGTTTTTTCCCCACTGAGTGGGGAGATTAAGAGTGGCTGTACAACACCTTTTGAGTTAGCAAAGTAACTTGTGTAATAGATAAATAACACAACTAAGAAATTATATTTACTGTGAGTTTTCTTGTAGAATTCACATTGCATAATATATATTTTTAGATACCTTATCTATACTAGAGGTTAAATTTACTTAGATCTGAATATTTATGATAGGCATTGCTCCTTCATGCATCATTTAACTACCTAGTTCCTTTTCAAATGCAAGGTAAAATCTTTTAAAGTCATCACTCAGCATGCAACAGCAATGATACAAGCATAATCTATAACCAACGCCTGCTACATAACTGCTTTAGCCCTTCTCAACCACGTGCGAAATTGTACAATTTGAAGTAGGTTTTGGTGGAGGCCAAACAGATATGTTTCATAATTACAGATTTGTGCTAAAAGCACAAACTTTTCAAAGCCATATGCCCWTGGGTTGTCATGGAAATGCCATAATTGACRTCCACCAAAACCTGCTTCATTGCAATAGCAAATTGTATTTTTCGTGCATGTGATTAAGAAGCACTGTCATAATAAGGTCACTCCTATAGTATGGACTCTTATTGTTTTTGTTGTGATGTGGACACCCTATTGCTATGCCAGCAATGCGTCTGGTCTTCTGTCCTGTGTCCCTATATTTTTATCCCTTACATGTTCTAATTGCTACAAAGTTCTATTATTGTAACAAATACAAATTCCAATCTTCTGATAACCTGCAGTGTTGGGCAGGAGGGAAGGGGGGGAAAGGAGGTGTTGAGTGGGGGTTAAAATGAAAGTAGGTATAATAAATAGGTTGAGCTACTTTGATCCCACATACAAGCTATAGTCTTAGTTACCCAACGCCTCTTTCGCCTCTTTGATGTCTYCCACCAGCTTCCGCGAAAAACAAAACCCGAAAATCTGTAGCATAGGTAACGCGGCTGCTATGGAAGCCATCATAATAAGGTTACTCTTCAACCACTTCTCCGCTTCAACAACACAACCCGATGTATATACAACCTTGCTGGCTTCAGCATTGGATTGTTTTATCACACCAAAGCCACACTGAGAGTTTATTTGATCTTCAATGCAGCAAGAGAATGGCACGCCACATCTTTCTACAGAAGGAGAGGAACAGTTGAAGTATATATTCTGTTCCCAATCTCGATACGTCGTAGTGCCACAACATTTCAGCTCTTGTTGGAGAAGGTCGATGATGTTCTGTAAATCAGGATCATCCCGGTACCTTTGTATTGCATGATGTACAGCATTTTCAACTTGGGTTCTTACTTTAGTGGCATAAACATAGCCCAGAACGGCGGCAATTATCTCTAACAGTAACATCAATCCCAACATTGCTGAGTAGAAGCGTAGAAAGCATATGTTCTCTCTCAACGCGCCCAGACATCCAGCAAACGAGATCAAAAACATCAGTACTCCGGCAATGGCGAGCATAACGGCAGGGTCGGTACTCAGTTKAGTGATTTTTCCGTAGAGTTCTTGCTTGTTTATAATGGCGTATATAGCGACAGCGATGATCAAGCAGCTTATAAACCAGAACAACACGTTCATGAAGAACATGGTGAACTTCACACAACAAGTAGAKTTACTGGGGTAAGAAGGTTTCGGAGTTGATCGCTGCTGTCTTGGAGTCTGGAATGGCTGTACACGAGTAGAACGAGCCATCTTTATATTATGGAACAAGAAGAACGATTAGACTGATCACACTTCAAGCTGTTTCTTGAACCACTTTACGTGCTAGAATGAGAACTCTACACAATATATTACATTTTCCTTGGTGAGTGTTCGCTTTTCTCGTCAAATGTTTACTCAGATATTTAGTAAATACCAAAAMTGTACAGAATGTATTTGGTTAGCAACATAAACGTTCCCAGTGACGTCTCGAGGCCAGTTCACTAAGGTATGACGAAAAATTCTCTCGTCTGATTGGCTGAAATAAATCTAATTAAGGCCAATATCGTACCCAGAGCCTCAAAGGACGAGATTAGTCCCTGCTGTGACAAAAAGTGAAAAATACATAGAATATTTCATCGAATTAACCTAAACCAAGTCTGTTGGAGGGATGTGTAGTAAAAGGACTGCCTCATTRGAAAATTTAATTTTAACGCTAGCAGTAAACTTGACAGTGCCTACGCCTCATACGTAAGAGAAAAAAACAGTAAGCACAGCGTTTGTAGATTGTCCATTGGGACTGCCTACCCTTTAGAGTTCGTCTTTGCTCAGTCTAAGCCTCGATTGTGCACAAATGTGTTCTTTTCTTTTATTAAGGTCCAGTCACAGGCGGCCAAAACAAGGTTCCTGTGTATGGTTTATAAGGGAATGTATGGAAGTTATGATAAAGTTACGAAAATAAAATGTTTCACTCAACAATTKGCCTCAAAACTTGCTGCAGTTGTTGCTTTTACTTTTGTTCAGTCTTCTGGCTAAGTTTCAGCGCGATTTGAGGCCGTTATTTAGGTAGAGAAGAGCGGATTTAAAAAAAAAAAAACACTAAACGGACGCGTGGGAGCAAACAGAACTCGACCCTGGAGTATTTTCTACAATTTTTCAATTAAAACGGAATCTATTCGATCTAAAACTCTCCGTCGTACTAAAATTCGTTCACGATCATACGCACGCAGCTGGGCACGGATTAAATGCCCGGTAATTTTTAATTCGACGATTCACTAAACGAATCGCAAAGTTACGAAATAAGTAGCTATTAGTTTCAGGTCACCCATCCRGGTACTATAAACTTCGCTCAACCGGACTTGACTCAGTGTSATCATTGAAGCCCATGTTTTTACACCTCGTTTCCAGGTGAATCAGCATATCAATGTCAATATCAAAACAATGCACCAAATCAACCGAATTCGTGTGCGGCAGGATGTAAAGGATTAGCTGTTGATATGGTGTGGGGGGCTGGCTAGTCTCTCCCCTGATGCTTTTGGGCTAAAACATTTCCCC